AATGCCGCACATGGGTGGGGGAATAGGTTGAAACGCGTCGGTTCAGGTTCACGTCACACCGGCCCTCTGCGCCCGACCTCGCCTACTGTTTTCTTAATTCTTCTATCACTTAAAACTAACCCTCGCGCAATTCGCCGTCCCTGGCACCGTGGGACACACGGTGAACATTGTCAGGACGGCCCAGCACGCAAGTCATAACTCAGACCGTCCTGAGGGCACGAGAACAAAGGAATCGAACAGGCCACCGGTGCATGCAGAGCAGGCAAAGAGCGCAACCTTCAAAGGCTGACACATGAGGACGCAAGAACAGCCGCCGGCCAGGTTCTGAGGTCACGCATGACAAGGTCCACGAAAGGACGCATGCACGTGCGCGCGTCACTGAGGCTGCGACGTGTCATCCTGCGGACACCCCACGATGGCTGAATGCAGAGGAGCCAATCAGGAACAAAGGCTATTGGTCCTTAAATACGATGCCGCTACTAGAAGGCGAACTCTCTTGCCGAGATGCGCTACGGACGACCCGAGATTGTTGCTGCTTCAGACACGGGGCCCTCTTTGCCGAGACCAACGACAGAACACACGCTGCTGGCGGACACAGGGGACCAAGCTGCCGGTCAGGCAGAAGATGGAGCTTATGTGAAGGCAGAAATAGTGACAGTAAACTATTATCTGCTATCTTGTTCTGCCTTCTCTTACTAACACGCAACTGGGGGATATAATTAGTGTCGACGCAGGCACACCCAAGGTTATAACAAACATCATCGGATGCAACGACTGAACTGTCAGATGAACACGCTAGGCATTTAGGAGGACCAACAGTTTCCAGTTTAAATCTCACTTTTTCAGTTCTCGCTCTCGCTCTCTCTCTCTATGTTTTCCACAGAGCTTTAATCTCAACTATTAAATGCAAGCCCCACTTAAGCAAGCATTTTATTTAAGCCTATATTTGCAGATTGTTGTTGTGCATGTTCAGGGGATGTGGGCTCGTTAAGGACCTTTGAATCAAGCGTATGGCTTCACAGCGGCGCATCTAGGTCTAGGAGCCGTAGGCCGAGACCAGGCCATTTGCAATGATGCGTACCTGAAGAAGGTCTGTAGGGTCTTAGGCCAAATCTCAAGTGAATGGTAAAAAGCAGGAGGCGCCAGAATGAGAACTTTATTGTGCGCAGGATGCTGCATTGCAGTCTCAGGCAACAGTGGCTACAGGGCTAGGCTTGACTTCTCTACCTCTGTATCCAGCAGTCCCGCCTACTTCAAACCCATTAATAACAAGTATCAAGGCAGTACGGTACTATTAAACAACTAGTATAGAAAAATCAAAGTACAAACCTCAACACTAAATGCACCAAGACATGATTCAGATTAAAAGAGATCTACTTTAACCCTCATCTTCACGATAATATATGACCAGTTTTGGCTACGCTCCAAATACTTGATGCGGTAAAAAAAGCTGTCAAAACTTTCTATTGCAGTTTTTAGGCAAAAGCATCACGGTCTAGTAAAAAATAATTTTTAAAGTTGAAATTGTTCCTTATTTCTGAAAATAAGTGCAATTCCTTAAACCTGTTTTCACTTGCGTTTGAGCAAATTCGGACTAAGTTTTCCGTTTCTGAAAGGGATATGTTTTGAAAGTTTCTTACCTAATTTGGGGTTCTCTCATAGCACAATGCATAAAAGTTAAAGAATTGACTCTGTTTTACTTAACAGCTCCCGATTTATCCAAAATTACTGCCAATTTCTCTTAATAAATTCAAATAAAAGGGCAGTTTTCCTAACTAAAAGGCCTTCTTGGGAAAGAGGAAAAAACATGCTTTACTACCAAGTCAAATTTCGTCATGATCTTTGCGCGAATTCGTAGACGTACTGTAGGCCTTCTTTGCTGTAAATGCTATCGTTAACAGAATCAAAGAGTCAAATTCGGAAGAATGCTGTCAGACCGCTAGAGACAGGGTGCTCATTCACCGGACGTTTCGAATTCTCATACGATTTCGGTTACGGAGACGGGAGCCGCGATGAACTAGCGAAAGGAACGCGTGCATCACTCCAGCTGGCAGATACACGTGGGCAACCAAACAGCCAATCAACGTGCGTTGTCAGATCTAGCTTTACTCTCGAGTGGAAATCAAACACGCGAACATCCCAAATATTTGACAAGTTTCCGCGAGGGAGGGGGGAATTACAGCGTGACAAAACGGCCAATCAGCAAACGGCACATTGTAGGCCACTACGTTCCAGAACGCTCGTTGCACGCGATTGGTCAGAATGTTCGAGAATGGCCAATAAATAGACCAGAGTTGAGCCACGCTAGAGAATCCGCTATTTCCGCAGACCTTGAGTAAAGTAATTGGTTCCAGAGACCCGGTTTCCTTTGCCTTTCAGCAAGCCCCGTCGAAATAGCACAATTTCATTACC